GTGAGAAGATGGAAGTCCGTGGTCAGTGTGGTCTTACCTCGGATGTATAGTTTTCACTGAATTGAATTTTGTCACTTTAGGGTTGGAGGAAAGCAAAGCTATTTGCTCATAGTAAATTATTTCAGATGGGTGAACTGAAAAATAGCAAAATGTAGATTTGGGGACTGCATTTCTGAGGAGGAAATTTCTGCACATTTATTACTGCAAAACCAACAGAGTGCTGAATTCCTGTCTCTGTGCTAGAATCCTAAGTAATGTTTTGCACACAGAAAATCCTGCTGTGTGGGAAGTGGATGAGAAGTGTAAGGGACATTGTGCTCCAAGGCCAAATTTTAAAAAAATGCTATAAAGGTTGTGTAGATGGAGGCATAAATTGCTGGGAAGGGAAGCAGAACTTCTGTAGTTTATGCAGGCAATAAGGCACGTTTGAGTGTGTTTGTTCAGAAGACATGATGGGGGGAAAAACCCAGAGATGTTTTCTCACTAAAGATGCCTTTCCAGGAGAGCTCAGAGACCGAACCCAACTGTTTATGTGAGGAAGCTGGCACTTTGTCAGAGAGCACCGTTGTGTCTGCAGAGTATGACAAGCCACAGAATTTTACAGATACGTTGCTTGGCTCTGAAGCACAAGAAGTTACTTGTTTTCAGAAGTTTGTGTTACTGACTAGAACGTGCGTGCTTTGGCGTCTCAGAAATTAAAGATGCACCGTTGTATTAGCAATATTAGATAGGTGCAAGCTGCCATGATGTGCTCTCTCCAAGAGTAAAACTCTCCCAACGAGAGATGTCCTCCTAGAGTGACGGTGAGAAAGGGTGAACACTGCATGTGAGCAGTAGCATGGGAAATGGTGAGCACTGGGGGTGCATGGTAGCCCCAGAGGACACCTCAACTACTATATACTGAGCAAAGCAGGCATTTTTATAGCAATACTTCTTAGAAAAATTATGTGAATATCCCAGCCTTTGCATATAGTAGGAAATCCGAGAGAGTATAAGCAGCAGTTGTACATTACAGTGAATAGTCTTCTGCTACGGCTGAGAAAAGCTTCCAGGTCACTGAAATATCAGACAATTTGGAAATCATGGGTGGTTCTTCTGTCTAGGTCCGAAGTGGAGATTTGTGATTTTTCACAAAGTGAGAACAAGATCAGCGGTAGGAATTGCAAGACTCAATTAACTGTGGTAGGATGATCCAAGGACCATAATTAATGTTCAAGCTTAATGTACGTGCCATGTCTGAATACCATCTTTGCTAGTGCTGCTAGTGAAAAGTTCTTATTCCTGCATGTGGCCTGGGAGTGGACAGTAATAATTACCTTTGTTGATTTTGACATGCAGCTGTGAAACGTTACTTTATGGGCATGCTGGAATAGCCTTTTTCAAAACACACCAAGTGTTCTAGAGGTAAGTCAAGGCTGCTCTAAAAGTCACAAGGCTTTGTTAATGGAGTGTCAGGCTTGAGCTGATGCTGTAAACCCTGGAGGGAACAAAGCACTGATTTACTGATGCTACTCAGGTTTTGGGTAAGAGCTGGCTGCAGTCCATCTGGCTTGGCTTGCTTGTAGAGTGAGCATACTTTAGAACCCGGCTCATCTGGGAAAAGCAAAAAGCTCCTTGACCAACTCAAGCAATAAGGCAGCTTGCCAGGAGCTCATAATAGATGAGAGCACCCCCTTGTTGGAGGAGAAGTCTGTGGTGGTTATTCAAGCAAATACAATGTGTTTCCTTTAGGTATGTAAATATGGTTATTAGCCCTTGATGGAGAAGTGCTGAGTGTCGGTACTTTCAATGGCTCAGGTCATGAACTTAAGTACAAGTTACAGAAATTACCATCTTGGATGCTGTTAATTATTGAAATATGTCACCAATTCCTCTGCCCTGTTTTTCACTGCTAGAATTTGCTGTAAGAGAATGTGCAAACACAGGTGTCAGAACAAGCACCTGCCTGTTCAAACGCATACTATATTTTGTCCAAAACGTTTTGAAAAATCATTTTACCATTATTTGCTGCTGTGTCTCCTCAGAACTCTTTGGGGAAATGAATTAAAAATGCTGCCATCTGTTTATCTTAAATTTATTGCTGAGGGTGCTAGCAGTTTTGAAGCAGCATTATATAATTTAGTTTTTAAAAATACATGCCAAGGATACAGTGAATCCTGGTACATTGGTCGCATTTTTGTGAGTTGTTGCAATGATTTTTTTCAACAGTATTTTAGTCTTTTTATCTTTAAAGAAAACAACTCTATGTGAAATCTGTGGGTGATAGTCACTGGATGGATATGGAGAATTATTTTGTTCCAGAAGTAACACCAGGCACAGCAGCACCTGACTTCTCACTGAGCTCCAGTCGCAGCTGCATTGGCAGCTTCAAAGGTGAAGTCAGGCTTGTCTCAGACTGATGCTGATAGATTCCCTGGACTCTTTTTCATTCTCTTGGATGCGAATTTCTAGATTTTGCCTTTGAATTAATGGAGTTCATCCAAAGTTCTATCCCCTTTGAGCAAAATGTTGCCCAAAAGAGGAGGTGTATTGGTTGGTTGTTCTGAAAGGGGATGTTTCTGGAAAAAAACACACTGAACACCATCAGTTCCTATTTCATTTTGTTTTTAAAGTGCTCTGAGGAGGAAGAAACAGCTTTCCTATTTCAGACACCTTTTTTTTTTTAATTTCTTTTTTTTCCCTTTTTTTAAAGCAACAAAGCAGTGTTTTCACAAAGATAGATAGTCTTACTGGTAAAAAGTCCTGATAGAAGAGCACACGGGGTAATTCCCTTACTTTTTACCAGTTATGCTTGGTTTCTCGCAGTATAAATTGATAGTGGAATTGCTTCCTATTTCTACAGTGTAAAATTAGTGCAATTAGGATGATTTTGCTCTCTGTACTATATTATTTACTGTATTTCACTTGGACTAATGGAGAAGACAGAAATCTCACCTTGCAGGTGATGTTTTGTAGTTCTTGTAATATATGGTAGATATTGAACATTGAGGCTGTAAAAAGGGGAGAATTGGGTATTAGAGAAGATAAATAAGGGTCGGGGAGGGGACTGAAATGGAAAGTCGGTATTTGCAAAGACCTCAGGGTAGGCTGCTTTCAATGTACTGTTTAAGCTTTAATGACCCATATACAGATTTTAGCAACAAAGTAATGACCAACTAGGGGAATTAAAGGCCTCAGGTGATGATCTGAACAACAAAAGCTGACAGAGGTCATAAATACTATTACAGTGCGACACAGGCTCTGCTAGGAGGCACTTCTTATGTTACCAGTCTCCCTGCATGTATGGTCATTTGACAGGGTTTGAGGGAAGAGCTGGTAAAAGCTCAGTGACTCTAGGTGGACTCTTCTTGGAGTTCCCTCAAGGTTCAAAGTTCCCATTTCTGGTGGAAGGTGCCTTTCAGAACGGTTGTTCTGATTATCTGTTGTTTGTATCCATACCTTTTTCAGTAGCAATTTTTCATTGTTGTCCGTTAAAACAACCCACTGTATCCAAATCTCTCTGAGCTTCTACGGCAATAAATTCTCCAGATTCTAAGATGAGGATCTTATGAAAATTGTGCAGTAAGTAAGCTTCTACTTAATTAGTGGAATGTTAAAAGTTACTAGAGATGCACTGACCAAATGTTTAAAAAGAATAACTGTAATTGCAATAGCTGATTTACAACTCAGTGGCAGTGTATTCTGAGCACAGGAAAGATTCCTGTGTGCTTACTCTCTGAATAAGTTGTGGAGTGCAGGCTCTTCTGAAACAGTCCTCCTCGCCTCTTCAGCCACGTTGAAGGGTTGCCTCATTGCTGGTCATGCAGCTTGCTCACGGGTTTGCAGTCCTGTCATCAGGATATCTGTGATACACTCTTTTTGAAGCTGCTGTATAGTATTTTCCCTTTTTCAATCTACCTTCTGCCTGGCGTGAACTCCAAAGTTTTGCTGCTGAGGATGCTTGTAGAGGAGCACTGATTCAGCCAGGTGCTGCATTGTAATTGTGTTGCTTCCTAGAGTGACCAGCTTGTAAGGTCGATCTTCAACATGTGAAAGATGATACGTATTTACCCCGGTTCAAAGCCAGATGACCCCTGGATTTACTGCAGCCTGATGGAGCATCCTCAATAGGACAGCGAGACCTAATATTGCCATGGAAGCTCCCTAGCTTTCATTTTGTACAGTAGCGGAGCAAGACGCACATTTGTTGTTTCATTATTTTCTTAGACAAAAGAAGAAGGGTGGCAGAAGAAAGTTCCATGTTGTTCAGTACAGAAACATGCCACTCATCTGCATGCCTTTGTATCTGTATTTACTTTGCCGTGGTGACTCATAGTCCTGCTCAGATGTATGCATGAGATGACAAGGCACCAATGACAGAATGACATTGGTAACAACACATGGCTTGTCAGCATATATTGCTAAAATATGCTATGTCTTGTGGAACATTAAATATGTAATATGGTGTGAACATTAAATATGTATTATGGTGTAAAAGTAATTTAGTGGAGATCACCTGCTATTAAAAATGGTGAGAAAATACCATGTATTTATTCTCCTGAGCTAATACAAATGATTCCATCAAACCTGTGTTATGTTTGAGAGAAAGGAGAGTTATTACTTAAAACAGTATGCTTAAAGAAAGCAGCTCTGTTGTGTTGGATAGGAAGGATGATGTTTTGAAAAGACACACTTTTAGCTGAGACAAAAAATTATCTTTGAGTGTAGAAGTGAACTTGGTGTCTGGTTGATCAGATGTGAGTGAGAGGAGGCTGCATAAGGAAAGCCTAGTGAGTTTGAGCAACAGGGTGGAGAAAATAGCACTGAATGGGAAGGCATGACCTTCAAACACACTGAATGTGTGGAACTGCTGGACATAGAAGATACTAAAGTACAACTGTTGTTTGTCAGGTTATGAAACTCAGATGTCAAAAAAATTATCCATGTCACTAAACAAAACCAACAATCAGTGTAAAATATTTGGATCCATTTTAAGATAACATGTATGTTTTGCTTTTCAGCTTCACTTTTGAAAGGATTGAAACATGCTAACATTGTGCTGCTTCATGACATCATTCACACCAAGGAGACCCTGACACTTGTGTTTGAATATGTGGTGAGTAAAGTAACTAATGTTCCAGATATGGTCCGGCATGTATTGAATTTGATGGAAGAGTTCTCTTTACTATAGGTGATCTATGGATCAGGCCAAAATAACAATTTACTTTCTTTGGGAGAGTGGAGGCTATAAGAGATGATGCTTTGTAGTGGAGCGGGCTAAAAGTGGAAGGCTGGGCTAGACTAGATTCAGAGATGGAGACATAGCTCCTAGGGCTCTTGAAGGACCTTATACTGTTCAGTTGACTTTTCAAACTTGTTCCTTACTCCATTTCCTAGTTCGTTTATTAGAGTTTTTTCTTTACTGATGTGGTTGGGTAACTTGAAAATAGGTGCAGATACTGTAGGTAAGAAGAAGAACAGGACTGATATGCCTAACAGGTAGTTACTTCATCAAAAGCATGTAACAAGTTTAAATGGCTTTTGTTGCAACTGGTTTGTGCATAATGTCTTTTTATAAGCAATGTCAGTAAAAAAGAAATGTGATGCACGCAATTTGGAATTTTGGATTATTAATTTTTTGCCATGACTAGTATTTTACCTACTAATTAAAACTTCAATTTACATAGTACACAGTGTAATGATCTAATTGTGTTCAGAGTATTACTTTCCAAAGTCTTGGGCTTGGCCTCCTAATTAATCTTCCTAGTTTTTCTAAGACAAACATATGGCATTTATGTAGAACTACTTCAGCATTTAGCTGTGGAATTATGCAATGTACTATCATAATTAACCTCCCAGTTTTCACAGATGGGGCCAAGAACATGTAATTTAAAAGAAACAAATGAGTTTAGAGAAGGTTAGCTTTTCAGTATAATACCTGTTATTGTGTTGTAGTCAGTAAGACACTGCGTTTATAAAGCACAGTGATTACTAGTTTTATTCTTAGTACATCCCGGCTTAAGACAGATGGAGTTGTTTTGTTTGTTTTTTGGGAGCATGCCTTAATTTTTACACACTAGTGCCCACAGCATCTTGTCTGGAGAAGCCATTCACCTTGTCTGTTTACATGGAAATGCTACAGTGTAATAACATGGGTGTTCACCTACAGGCGCCTGCCGAGCAGTTCCATGCAGTACGTAACTTTTTACCTCTGGTATAAGAATGTTAATGAAAATTTAATTCCTTTTCTTAAAATTGGCGATTCTTGTGCTCCTGACTTATACACTGAATTAGCATAGGAAAAGCCTTGATATTTAATTTTATGTAGCGGTCAGTGTAGACTTATTTGCATGACTTTACACGAATACATTTTACAGTCCCTTTTATCAGCGTCTGTATTTAGCTGTATTCATCAGGGCTAGTTGGGAAATGAGATATATAGAATATGTTTCTCCCTAAAATACATGTTTTTACTGATTATGCTAATGTCAAATTTCTAGTTTTTACATCCAGTAGTAGTGTTTACAGACTCTGACTCCCAGCCAGGTGTTATATCATGTTGCTGTCTGTGCTAAGCGCAGACTCGGCTTCGTGCAGCAGCTAGTTCATCTGGATTCACTTAGCTGTTTGTTTTTCAACAGGGTGCTGGTGGGATCAACCCCGCTGGTGGTTGCAGCTTTTTGTTCCTATGGTGTTTGGTAGCTCTTGAAACTGTTTCAGGATCTCATTTAGTAATGGTTTCTAGCAGCTGTCCCAAGTAGCATTTTAGTATGTTGGTTGGTGGGAAGATTCTCTCAAAGCGGTGTTCGGGAAGAAAGGGAAGAATGCTTTGTTCTCTCCAACCAGCCCAAGGACTGTATTGTAATGATGTTGTTAACTTGTTCCTGTGCCTTGAGATGACAGAATTGCTTAACAAAAATCTGTTTTCGTTGTTAATTCATTGTAAATTTTTATACATTGATCAAATAGCTAATGTTATCTGATAATGCTTACTGCTGGAGAATGCCCATATAAGCTGAATTGGATTCTTGTGGGTGTATGTGATACAGGTTTTAATTGCATCATTGCAATGGCCTTTTTTCCTTTTGTCATTCAGCGCATAATATGAATGTGCAGAGACAAAAATTACAGTTGCCCATTTATATTTACAGATTTTGGCTGGTTGACTATGCAGTCTAGCTGTGTAATTGGTGTTACTGAGCTCTGTATCTGTAGTGTCCGTTTTGTTTTGTTTTTTTTTAAACACCTGCACATAGTTTAGCTCAATAATATGAGTGATTTTTACTGAAATCAGTAGAAATATTCATGCAATTAAAATTACATGGTGGCATACATTTTTGAATGAATGACTGGGGCCTAACAAACCTAAAAGGCATTGAATTTTATTGACTTCATAAAGCGACATCATGCAACTGGTACACCATTGCCATTAATCACTATTGGCATTTGAGTGAGATGTCATAATTAAATTAGGGATGAACAGTTAGTGATCCAAGAGTTCTCAGAAAATGGAGACTTTGGGTCACTAGGTTGGTGACGATTCCATTGGGAAATTAATACTGATGAAACATCTGAGCTTATCAGAGGTGTTAGGTTTCAGCGCTGACCCTGAAAGAGTAGAATGAAATTTAAATTCATGTAGCGCCTTTCATTGCAAAATGCATTGCAGTAATAAGTTAAAAACTGAAAGCAGAATAGCCTCTGAAAGGAAACACGGCAGTGATTAAATTCTCTGGGTACCTCAAATTAGAATTATTTTTTTTTATATGGAGGTCTGTCAGATGAAAACATGACAGAGCTTTTTAACTTTAACCTTGATGGTGCCCAGAAGCAGGAAAAGGCAATCTTTAAAAATTCCATTTGACAGTTGAAGATCAGAAGTTCATTCTCCATATAAACATTTTGGTGGTGAATGTGAAGCTGTACAGTTCTGTGGAAGAAGAGATGGGGGCTTGCTCCTATTGAATGAAAGAACTTAACTGAAAATAGGTTAGTATATACAGTACCTTGTTAGTAGGGCATAATTTATTTGTATGCTTTGGTAGCTCTTAGATCGGCTATGATTGTTGTTGGTCATTCAAGCGTGCGGAAAAGGGAGCTGAGAGCTCAATTGTGTCACTGGATGACTGAGCGCCAGTGCTTGTTACCTGAGGAGTTTTGAGGATGAGCTGCTTGGAATCGTCTGTACAAAACGTGAAGGGCTGATAGTCTTTCATGTATCAATGGTAGAGAAAATGGTTTCCGTATAGTCAACTGGGATGTGCTAAACAAGACCCAAAACCAAAATGTAAAATTTTGACACATTTTGCATATGGTATCTGAGACTGCAATGACTTCCAAAAGAAAAAGGTCAGTTCAGCTTTACAGTTCAATGGAGCATGACTGTTCAAAGAAGTTTTGTTCCCCTCCTTTCCAGGCTCTGTTCAGGTGTTAGTTTTTGCAACCTTCTGGGCATGCCAGCTGTAGTGCACGTGTCATTGATATAGCCAGCTTTGCCAAAGGAAATGATCAATTTTACAGGTGAGATCTCAGACATATTGAGAGATCTTTTAAGATGGGTTCACAGCTGTTCGTTCTAAATGATCATTAGCTGCTACCATTTGTTTCTTCACTTGTTTATTTAAAAGGAAGATGGCTATATTTAGAAACACTTAATTGCTGAAAGGCAATCCTAACCAATATATATTGCTACAGGCTTAGTAGAATGATAATGAGGTTTTTAGTGTTATGCTTAATTATGTAAGGATATTATTATCAATAAATGAACCAGCAACTTCTCCTATTCCTGGTTATATAAAAGTGAGCTTGTATAGCAATCCTTTAGATTACACTTTCAACATTTATGAACTAGATTTGAAACAAGAACAGATACATTTATAATTGAAAGTATGAGTAATGAGTAATATTATTTCTGCCTCAACAGTGAAAAAGCTCTAGACTAATCTAATAGTGTAATTTAAAACCAAGCATTTTCAATTACCTTGCCTGTTTTAATCTTTGTGTATGTTTTTCCCTCTTAAAAATTACTTTCCATTAAAGAAGAAAGTTTAATTCTCATTGCTTTATTCCAGCAGCTAAAATAGGTTGTTATACCATAAGTTGGCTTAATAAAGTTCATTAGTTACATTTTCCTCCCATTTCCTGTAAGAAAAAAATACGTGGTTCTCATTTTAATGCATATTAGAAATTGAGATGTATATTCTTTATTGAAATTAAGACTTACAGAGCTGAAGTTTCAAAACCCGAGATTTTGAGTTGGTTGTGAAACGTCTTAGAAAAGCATTATGCAAGGAAATGGTCAACACTCATTACATAAAAGAATCGAAAATTTTTGCATTGAAAATTTTGAATTTCTTATAACTTTTGATAATTTGGCTTGAACACTATTATTGGTTTTCTGGTTTTATTTATTTTATTAGGGAACATGTGTTGAAACTAAAGGTAGGATGGCAATGCTTGTTTGTGAAAACAAACAAAAAAAGCCACATTATTTTAGTGGCTGAGAAAGCAAGGAATATCAGTGGAGTCCCAGAGCTGCTTTTGAGGTCTGATCACGAGGATTGTTCAGTGGTGCTTAATACCGAAATTAAAGAAACTAGGAAGAAGGAAGGAGGGGTCTTCTAATCCTTGATTGAGAGTGAAACTTATTTGGAGGCTGCGTTACCTTATTTTGACGTGAGAGTGAAATGATGGGCAATTTTCTTCCTATTTGAGGTCAAGGTGCTTGTCCTGCCACGGTAAGCAAGGACTGAAAGCTAGTGAAGCTCTGCAACAAGTCGGATAACTCCTGCCACCCTCTTGGCAGACACCCCTGCTTGCCGTGAACATGCTTTATCCACCCTGGGCAGGAGTGGAGCTGTTGAGGGCTCCCAGCACGGGAGCAGTTGAATTTAGTAGTTTCCATTTGCCTTGACCAGAGAAGGAGCCGTTCCCCGTGCCCCAGGCTTGCCCCAAGTTGCGCAACTTAAACTGCAGTCAAAAGATGACAGAACAAGGCTGAGAGGAAGCAGAGAAAAAGGAAATCCCCAACTATTGAGAGAGGCAGTAAGGGAATACTGCTCTTGGGAAAGCCTTGTTTTTCAAGCTGTAATGAGCAGATCAGAGGCAGGAGCAGCT